TCTTATGCTTTTTGTATTTTGTCCCTCTTTTCTATTTGGTCTTTTTTAATATCCATTATAAGCTTCGACTTCCTGTGATATAATCTTCTTTTTTTTTTTGCATGTATTTTCTTAATTTTAGTCCACTCTTTGAGAAACTGTTGATATGTTCTCTTACTTTCATATTGCCAGTAACTATTATGTCTTACTCGTTACAATTTCTGAATTTCACAATCGATTTTAACCTTATGCCCTTACCTTTTTGCTCTAAATATATATTCAATTTTTATATCTATCATCCAGCTGTTATACACCTCCGTTGACATTGAATTTTATATTTTATTTTTCCTTTTATTCTTACTTTTTTTCTAAACTCCCATTCTCCTCCCGTGTCTCTCCTTTTCTCCCTCCTACTTAGATCAATATATTAATAATGTTAATATTAACCAAAATTTCGTTAGTAGTTTTTAATGTTGTAAAATTTCTTGAACTGATTTACCATTCTTCTTTAAAAATTTGTGCATAGTTTTCAGCTATGTCGAATTATCCATGCTAATTTCAATACAAATCGATCATTTAACATGAATTTACTGTTACTAGTTTCCATACGAATTCACCGATAACTAGTTTCAAGTTTTCAACGGAAAATTTATAAAAAGCAAATATTATCTTTGATGGCGAAGCAAGCGATCGAATATATTGTTCGAATACCAAAATTCATTGAAGCAGAAGATGTTCATTTCGCTCGCGTCTATTTCCGTGTCTGCTTTGACGGAGGACAATCGTTTTCCGTTTCTTGCACAGTTCCTCAATATTATCAACCTGAGACGTATATACGAAGTTGGATGACGGTTGTGCTGTCTGGCAAGTGGCGTCTGCGAGCCCAAGAGAGGCAAAACGGTTGGACTAATGCCATACCATGCCAAAGTACGTATGTACTTTTGATCCGCGTGAGACATCGAGAGAAAAACGCGTTTGCCGGATCTTTCACTGGCTTAACACTAAAGCTACCGACACTTCGCGTATATCTATTCCTACCGATTTACGATTTTTACGATTTGAAGTTGTTCATTGAGCCCAAGAATACAGTTTTAGGTACATATTCGCAATAAACGGTGAATTTTTGTAATGATATGTTAGGCAAAGGTACCGATACGCGGCGATACGACGTAACCATGCTGTATTATGTGTCGGCGTTTTACATTTTTCGTTGTATAATACAATTTTTGGGTTTAAGCCGCTGGGGAGCGGAGCTTTTTTATGTATTTTTTTTATTTTTTTTCTGTCCTGAAAACTTGATCGCAAAACAGGACGCTTCTATTCCTACCGTGAGCGGTCAAAATGACCGATGATTAAAGAAGTAATAGTTTTTATGATTTAACTTAGATAATGGTTAATTTATAACTAAATGTATATAAAATGATGAACTTTCATAAAATTTTGTCCAAATTTACTTTTGTTTAATTTCAATTATAGACTTAAATTATTAGACACTTTTATTTATATAGAGATATATCTTATTCAACTTTGGTGCATTTTTACAAATTATCTTATTATCAAATGTACATTTACCGCATAAATATTTCCCGCATCTTAAACAAATTTTCGTAATTTTGTAACCTTTACAATTTTTTACTTGATAAGTTTTTTGTAGTAATGAATCTGAACTTGTTGATAGTTTTATTGCATGGCTTTTTTCCCGCGATTCTTTATGTAAAAATAATTCCCGCGATTCTTTATGTAAAAGTAATGTATGCATTATGTTTATAACAATTTTGTGAATTCTCTGTAAATTGGCCCCATACTGTAGATACCATTGCAAATTTATTGGTTCGTAAACGTTGACTTCTTTCGCTCTTCTTATCAAATCGTATAAACCATATAATTTCAACAAAGTCATTCCTGCTCATTGTTTTTGAAAAAAATGCAGGTCTCCAAATTTTATTCCACAAATATGAGACATCTAAATTTTTTGCCTGATATACACCGCGGGCATATAGCGGAGCAATAAATGCATCTAGTTTTGTAGCATCTAGCTCCTTCTTAGTCCCCAGTACTCTAAATACTTCTTCTTCCGTACATTTTATTATATATCCTTTATACGGTGACCAATGATAAGATAAAATGCCATCTTTACTTGTCCTTTCATTATATGCCGTTTAGCATATCCCTAAAAATATTATGAACTGATGTCCTGCCACGTTTGGGACTTGCATCTATTTCTCTCCAAACTGTTCCATCGGGCCCACTTTCACTCTCTGCTGTCAACGATAACACTGAACAGTCTTCTTCTATATCCTTCATTTTTTTAATAATTTTTTTGTTGAAAAATCTTGACATTTCTAAGGTAAATATTTATCACAGAATAACACCATGTACGGAATACAAAAGTTATTGTCAAACAAATTTAGATGTCGACTAATCGACTTAGAAACCGAGATGTATTCTAGTTGAAAAGACAATAGTAAAATAAAAATATGATCTGTGACAGCGATATTTATACGAAAATATTGATGAGTATTGACCATACTGCACCAACAGTTACTCGAGGATGGAGTTGGGAAAGCTTTTCGCGTGTTTTATAGCAATGAGCAATAACCCTAAGAAACTTCTCGACTTTTAAAATGTTTGAACAATAGACTGTAAAAAATACTAAATTTTGTGGCGGTTCCTTAGGATTATTATGGACCTGAGTTGATATGTCTTGACTGCTGGTGGCTATTTTGTGTAACAGCGGGTGTAACAGCTATTATTATTTGCTATTGCTGATTTTGTTTGTCATCTGACCTTGAAATAGCCTTTTCTTTGTACTGATTGCATTTATTTTAAGAATAACTGACATATTTTGTCGGGCGGTCAAAATGACCGCTCACGGTAGGCAAGACAGAGTACAAATTTTTCTCAGAAAATAAAAGAGCAAACTAAAATTAATTACCGAAAAATATACTGTATGCATGTTTTAGGAAAATTCAGAAATTATGAAGCGATATCATAAAGTTTAAATATAGTTAAATTTGTGTAGAAATCGCAAGAGCGGTCAATTTGACCGCTCCGGTAGGTTTAGTGTTAAAAGCAAAAACTGCACGTGTAACATCTGTGATGCGAGTATCCTTACTTCTCTGCGTTTTTTGTTGGACAAGTTATATTTCCCTTTTTTAACATAAGATATGAATTGGCAGAGAATATAAAATGTGTAAAAAGAGCAAAATGTTGAATTGTTGCCATATTATTATCGGGCAGTAAAGTTAGAATATTATGTAGTTGATGAAGTCACAACTTACTAGTACTGATCCATTCTTTTGCATAACGTTCGTTAATTTAGTAAATTAGATAAAGTACTGCGAAACAAATAAAATATTGCAACTAAATTTTACAAATTAAAAATAAGCTAATTATATTATATTATGTGTATTATGTCAGTCATCTTTTTAAATTACACGCGGGGATGAGAATAAGCAATTAATGAAAAATTATTGCTTAATTCTATTTTTAAGTCGATGTTTAATTATTTATCGTATATATATATCGGAGATGAAAGGACATCGAAGCCTCCCCTTTGGAACTTCGGGATAATCCCCTAACACCGTAATCTAGATTCTATCATAGGCGTAATTAAACAATTGTCTTTCGTTCCGATTGTATTTGTTCGAGATTTGTGATAATGAGCTTGGATTCGAGGCGACAACCAGTCGCCGAACGTAGCCGCGGTCACGGGATGAACGCTTTGTCTAACAAAGGCATGGAGCAATTCTATAGCTCTCCTTAAAAGAAATAATTGTAGCGGCACGCGACAGTAAACATTCCAACGGTTTCTGTCCCGTAGCTCGCCACACGCAGACCCTATTCTTCAAATAAGATGATTGCCAGATGTCGATGCGTCTCCGCAGTACATGTTCAGCTAGCCTGAGGGCCCATTATAAATCTTAAGATTTAGTTGACTAAAGTCTTTCAAACAAACAGCCTTCGTCCCAACTACAAGAAGATAGAGGAGACCTACGTTTTCCAACGAACGACGTCTCCCACTAGCAACTTTCCCTCGAGCGCGGCTAGCATCTTTTTTTTAACCACCGATATGGAAATTGACCAATTAGCAGCAACGCCAATTTCCCTTACTTTCGGAACGCCGGCTTTTCTCGACGAATCCGATGATCTCGTGTCCTTAGACACACTCCGTCATAGTTTTCCTCCGCAGCATCATCGCGACGGTAAGTCATTCTCTCGTGAGGTCGTATTAGCGAGTTACTTAGTGTCTGTACGCTCGGTGGATATTCCACGTTTTAACAAAGAGTCCGACTTAGATTTTGTGAGGACGTACATCTATCATCCCATTGACCGCGGATTCGTTATTGAACCTAGGATCATTGTCATTAGTCTCTCGAGTATCTAATTACCACAATTGTCCAATTCTATAATAATCGTATTTGCACTAATCAATGTCTTCTCTATTACATAACGATATTGTGTAATCCAAACGAAGTTTCGTTTCACGCCCCTAACCCTAACTTTAATTTAAACCCGACATATATTTGGTATATCTAGTTAGTATAAAGAGTATCTTGTTGATAGAAGCTTGATAGAAAATTTGTATTTCAATCATTAATAAGAAGCGGATACATAATATAGTAATTACTAGATGTAAACATAGTGGCAAAATAAATCAAAGAAGCGAAATCCCTTGTAATCCTTAGTAACAAGAAAAATAATAATATTACCTATATATTTGATATATAAAATAATACAAATTATTTTTCTTATTTATGTATTTGTAAATGCTCGATTGGATACGTTTTAAGTAAAATGGTTAATTTTGACTAAATTGGCTATTGTGAATTCGAGATTGTGATAGGTCATTTGTATGCGCCTTCGTTTATCCTCTGATGAAATAATCGATTAGATAGTATTGATACAAGGCAAGAGCCTGCAAAAACTCAAACGATGCTCATTACACAAGCACCCAACGTAAATAATAAAATTTCCTGTTGACAATCCAGTGCAGAACGAATTATACATTATACGGTCGATGCGTCGCGTTTAAATTAAAGCGACATCCAGTGCGTTAAATTGTAATGGGCAATTACCTTTCGAATTAAGTTGCATTCTCTGTGTGGGCAGGACTCTAACACGGTGGGATTATTTTTATTTAAGCATACTTAAAAACTTCATATTTCGGCGGTCTATCTAATATTACTGTTTTTTATGGCATTACACTCTAGAATGATATTATACTTGAAAGAACTTTCCTGTTCGAAAATTAGCATGCTTAGTAATTTTCTTTTTCAGAATTTCTCTCTGAGGTGTAAGTGTTTTCCGTGATAATTGTAGCTGCTGGCTGTAGATGTCGCCGATGGGGTATTGCTATTTTTCTTCTAATTTAGATGCGCGGAAGAAAAATCGGACTCCGGTCGCCGGGATTTGAACCCGGGTGCCGAACGTTCGTAACCTAAGGCACTAACCACTGCGCTGCCGTCGTCCGACCTAGTTAGTGTCGAGTGGTGTTATTTGCTGTTGAGTGCCGCCACATCTCTTTCGATATTTCTAAGTTCTTCTAATAGAAGAGATCTTAAGCCTCATACAAAACGGAAATATTTTATAATTATAACAATTGTTGGCAATCTGTTTAGAAAATTAATATAATTAAAACAACAATTTGCGTGACTTCTTTTCTTCTCTTGAAAGCAAGAGTTTTTTCGCTCCTAATTTTAATGACTGTTACGACCGTTCGCGGAGAGACGCGGTCGCGAGGAAAACGCGTCAGCGAGAGGCGTAAATTCTCGCTACGACGCCAGAAAATAGTCGTTCCCCTGTTTCGATTAAGATAATAGGGGTAGTTCAATGAATTTAACACTGTATTAACAGGTTAACATAAAATGGTATATTTGACAATATTTAACAATAATATGATGAACACGCCACAAATTGGATGGAGTGTCCCTGAAATCTCGTTCTCGAAAACTTGTTAGCGAATCTCCGATGAGGAAGTGACCGGGAGTAAGGACAAGAAGGTTGTTTGGATCTGATGATATTGGAGTCAGCGGACGGGAGTTGAGGATAGACTCGATTTCAATGATAAGTGTATTGAAGTTTTCGAATGTTAAAAGCTCGTTACCTACGACGCGTCTGAGATGTCGTTTGAAGGTGTCGTTCACTGCAGCCTCCCACAACCCGCCGAAGTGAGGTGAGTTGGGAGGAATGAAGCATCATTCGACCCGTCGGTCGGCTAAAAAGGACTGAACCTTTACCTTATGATTGTCGGACTGCAGGAGGTTTCGGAGCTCTCGTAATTCGTTGTTGGCGCCAACGAAGTTGGTACAACGGTACAGAGTAGATTGTTACACAGAATCCTCGGCGAAAGATGAATCTTCGCAGAGCAGCAATGAAGGCCTCGCTAGTGAGGTCGCTGATCAGCTCGATGTGGACTGCTTTAATTGCAAGACATACAAAGATTGCTACATATATCTTGATTTTACGTCGGTTGCAATCCTTTCGTTCTTTGATGTAAGATGGTGCGCAATAATCGATTCCGACGTTGGTAAATGGCCGAAATTCCGTTATCCGTGCGGCTGGAAGGTCGCCCATTACGTAATCCACTGGAGGTGGATTGGCTCGGCAGCAATGGACGCACTTCTTCAGCGTGCTCCAAACTTGACTACGGCCGTCGATAGGCCAATAAGTTCTTCTTAGGGCATATAAGGTAGTTTGAGTTCCGGAGTGGAGGTTTAGGAGGTGTTCATGCTCGATTATGAGCGCTGTAACTGAGGATTTGGGTAGAATGATTGGATGTTTTTGATTGAAAGGTATTGGTGAATGACTGAGTCGGCCTCTGACTCGCAACATCCCGTCCTTGTCCAGAAATGGATTGGGTCGTTGTAGTTCCCCTTCACTGCAGAATTTCGATCTGTTCGGAGAATACGGATTTCATCTGAAAAATAACAGAGTTGTAATAATTTGACTAGTTTGTTATGCGCATTGGTTAAATCATGCGTGGTTAGAGGTCTCCCTTGATCCTGTTTTTGTCTCCATCGAAGGCAACGAGCGGTGATTCTTATTAGCTTGGGCCAAGAAGAAAATCTCTCCAGTAGACTATGGTTAGCCGGAATCAAGACAGGTTGTCTTCTTCTGCTCTGGTATTTCGATTAATGGTACTGGATTCCACGTCGGCCAGTATCTTTCAGGTTGTTGGAGCCACTTCGGTCCATGTTGCCAAATGGTTGGTCGCAGGAAGTCTTCGGATGATTGGCCTCGAGATATGAGATCCGCAGGGTTATCGGTGGTGGGAATGTGACGCCAATCTGAGGTGTGAGTCTTCATTTGAATTTCTGCCACACGATTAGCGACAAAGGTTTTCAGCGTATGGGGTGATGTATTAATCCGATGAAGAACGATGGTAGAATCAGTCCAATAAACGGTCCGAGAAATGTTGCTTGGTAAGGCCTGAAGGACTGTAGTGGCCAATGATATGAGAAGAAGTGCTCCACTCAGTCCCAGCCTTGGAATGGTTTGTGATTTGAGCGGAGCCACCCTTGACTTCGCAGTGAGGAGTCGTGTCCAGACATGACCATCCGGAGTGATGGTGCGAAGGTAAACGCATGCCCCATACGCCCTTTCGCTGGCGTCACAGAACCCGTGTAACTCAGACTTGATTATGGTTTTACGTTAAAACGGAAACTACGTTATTTAGCAATAGTAACTGCGCATAGTATTTACTCCATTCTGTATGTAAGTCAGCCGGAAGAGATGCGTTCCAATCAATTTTTAATGTCCAAAGTCGTTGGAGCAGCATCTTAGCTCGAACGATCACTGGTGCCAGTAAGCCAGTAATCCAAGAGGGTCGTAGATCTTGATCTTGGCGATTTCGGAGCTGATTGTTCTTTTCGTAATACGAGAGGCGGTAGAATTTTGACGGAATATAAGATCGAATCATCAAAGGAATTTCAAAGAACAACCAGCGTTTTAAAGGTTTGAGATTCACCTAGTAGTAGCTTATCGTTTATGTCCTGTTCGGAAAGTCCTCGTAGCAGTTGCCGGTCGTTCGATGCCCATTTTCGAATGTTCAGGCCGGCTAGCTTAAGCAATTCTGTGAGCTCCGTTCTCAATGATCGTACCACGACCTTTGTATCAACTCCTGTGAGAACATCGTCTGCGTAGAAATCTTGCTATAAGACTATCGCCGCTCGTGGATACCGATGTCCTTCGTCGTCCGCCAGTTGTTTGAGACACCGAATGGCTAGATAAGTAGCCGCTGACAACCCGAATGTCACTGTGATAAGTTGATAGGCGTCAACTTCTCCATCAGAGTTGCGCCACAAAATTTGTTGGAATTTCCGATCCTGTGGACGCACAAGAAATTGTCTATACATTTTTTCAACATCGCCTGTAAATACATATTGATGAGAACGAAATCTTAGGAGAATGAAAAACAAGTCATCTTGTAGTTTCGGTCCCGTATGAAACACGTCATTTAATGAAACTCCGGTGGTGGTTGGTGCAGATCCGTCAAACACGACTCGGAGTTTTGTAGTTTGGCTGGACTCTTTGATCACGCCGTGATGTGGCAGAAAATATCCGTCATCCGTGCAATGGTCCGCGGTAATCTTCGTCATGTGTCCTAATTCCAAGTATTTTCGTATTACAGCGTGATTTTGTCTCGTTGGAATCGACGTCAGAAGGATGTGAGTCGCTTCATCGCCATGGTTTCAGAGGATCCAAGCGAAAGGGTTGTTTCGTTAAAAGGGAGAGCGACAATGTATCGCCCTTCGTTGGTGCGTTGAACGTGATTTCGAAGGTGTTCCTTGCATTGTCGTTCCGCTTCCGAAATGTGTGAAGTGGGCGGTCCTTCGCCGATTTCCCAAAAACGGGCGAGGTCCGCCTATAAAGCCGTCGTTGAGGCGTAGAGGCATGAAATGCGTATGCTGATGATTGCGAGGTTGGGCTCCCCCCGATGACCCATCCGAATCGAGTTTTTTGCAGACGCAAGTTGGGCCCGTTTGATTGACTTATATCAAGTTGGCCGACACAGAGTGATGCTAGTGTTGGTCCGGCGCTCAATAAGATTTCGATCGGAGCAGGTCTATGGAATCTTGGATCGGATATGTTGGTATGATTAGGAACGTCAAAGTGCGTTCGTATGTGTCGTCAATGGAGGTGATCGTGGCCGTGATATAACATTTCGAGGTTGTCAATAACGTGTTGAGCGTTCCGATTGGGACCGAACAATTCCGTTGGTTGACTTTTAATGAGTTGGCGAGTTTTTCGGTGATAAAGTTCATGCTAGAGCCGGTGTCTAGCAGAGCTCTACAACGGAATGGTTGAATTTTATTGTTTAAGATGTTAAGACTGGACGATATATTTGATCCGGGTGCCTTTGTTCGCGATAACCGAGATTCGCGTTTCGGAGATGTTCGAGGAGACATTCGGGAAGACGTTCGGGGAGACGTTCGGGAAGACGTGGATACGCGTCTCGAACGATGTGACGAACGCGGGGTCGGTGAACTAGGTGATGATCGACCGTTGGATGATCGGTTGCTCGACGATCGACCGCTCGATAATCGGCTTATATGTGTTCGCGACTTGCCATGACCTTGGTCTTGATGCAAATATGTGTGGTGTTGCTGTCTTTTTTTTTTATTAACGTGGAAGAAATCTGGGGAAAAGCAGCGTAGTAGTACCGAACACCAACCGACTAAAACCTCCACGATGACCGTCCCGGCTGCGATCGAGAGAGGACCGGGTACCGGTTCGAGCG